TTCAATTCGAGGGAGCGTCAGCGCCATCTACAGATGTCGCCAAGAGTGGGGAAATTGTCGCCCTCTACAAACCAGTGGCTCCCTCGCATACTCAATCATCGAAGTAGTTTCCTACTTATCCAACATTTCCGCCCGCCTTCGTTTTTGAAGACGACGACTCAGTCATTTGATCCGATGTGATTCAATAGGTAACGGACAAATTTTCGTGAGTGGGCGTTTCATGGTGGTGCCAGTGGTTTTCATAGTGACCACGCGTACAATTCCATCCTGACCAGGATGAACCTGAATGATTCTGCCCAAGGGCCATTTGGCAGGGGGGTATCTCTCATCTATAATAAGCGCGAGATCTCCAACTGCTATTGGAGATGAAGATTTGTTCCATTTGTAAGCGGTTTGCAATTTCTGAAGATATTCTTTTGACTATTTTGATCAGAAACTTTGAAGCATCTGAGAGAGATGCTGCCAACGAGAAAGTCTTGATGACTTGAAACATTCAATATTTGGTTCAGCGACCAACGTCAGCGGGTGTCACACAAGAAAATAGCCGGGCGTTAAGACTCCGAGATCATCAGGATCATTCGTTACTGGACATAATGGCCGAGAGTTTAAGACAGCTTCGATTTGGGCCAGTAAGATGGTTAATTCTTCATAAGTGAGAGAAGCCTCTCCAATGACTCTGCATAAGTGATATTTCATGGATTTTACGCCTGCCTCCCACTTCCCTCCGAAATGAAGGGCAGCAGGTGGAATAAATGTCCACTTGGTTGCATCATTTGCAAGTAGAGTCGAAAGTTTTTCATGTTCAGACGAAGTTTGTGAGAAAAGCTTCTTTAGCTCTTGATTAGCTCCCTTAAAATTGGTCCCAGAGTCGCTGGTCAAGGTCGCACAAATTCCTCTGCGTGCAGTAGAACGTTTGTAAGCCGCTATGAAGGCGTCAATTGTGTAATCAGTCACTACCTCAAATGGATTGCTGAAGTTGAAAAACAAACAAATACAGCGATCCAAGGCTTGTAAGTGCGAATATTCTTTCCTCTCCATGTTTTGAGTTGGTAAGGACCGGCATAATCCACGCCAGTGTGGAGGAAGGCTCGAGATGGATTCACTCTCGAAGGAGGTAATTGACCGATGATCTGTTGATCTCTTGTGTATGTCGATATCGGGTGCACTGGACACATTTGAGAATGCATGAACGCACTGAAATGTGTCCACCCATAATCCAGTAATTGTTTCGTATGTAACTCAATGTGTCTTGCGTAGATCCATGAAAAGTTCTTAAATGGACATCTCTAATAATTAGAACACTAAGTGGGCTATGCTCCGCAAGGATGTATGGATGCTTAGTTGTTTGATTTAATGAGGAATGTTCCAATCGTCCCCCTACACACAATAGTCCTTGAGAATCAATGTATGGCAGAAGTCGAATCAGACGGTTTGACTTTGGGAGGTCGTTCTTAGATGCAAGGGTGTTGATTTCAAATTTGAAATGATTTTGTTGGACTTCCTTCACCCAAAAAAGTTTGGCTTGTTCCAGTTCTTCTGGCGTTAAAGGATGTTTCAATGATGAATTGAGTTGTCCCTTAAACCGTGAGATAACTTGATTGCATGTAGCTGTGGCACGAAACAGGATTTTCAATGACGAACATCGACCGAGCATGCCCCAGAAGGGATGTTCTCTCAAGGTTTGTATCGCAACTATTACTTGAGGTCTTCGTTCTTCCAACTCTCTTGATGATGTCACTTGAGGAATAGTGAAATTGGGCGAATGTGATTGATCCTTTCGTAACCATGATGGTCCTGTCCACCAGAGAGAATGGTCTTTAAGTTGGGAGGCAGATAATCCTCTGGTGGCACAGTCTAGGATTTTCCTTGCCTGGTAAGTACCTCCACTGCGCTGAAGCAAGAGCTTCTTGAATCAAACATACTCCGTTGTGAGCATACTCTTTCCATCGCGATGGATGATTATTGACCCACGTAAATACAATTGAGGAATCTGTCCAAAGGTAGCAGTCGACCCTTTTCTGAAGATCGAGGACTCTCAGAATAGTAGTGATCAGTTTGGTTAGCATGACTGCTGCTGTCAGTTCCAATCTTGGTATTGTAAGACGCTTCAATGGTGTGACTTTCGTCTTGGCACACAGAAGATTGACACATCTCATTTTGATGATTAATTGATCGGATGAAGACCGTGGCAACCATTGCGTTTTGAGAAGCGTCACTAAACCCATGAATTTCGAGGTTACAACTAGTTGTTGTTCCAATCCATCGTGATATTTGGAGTTCCTCGAGTCCCTCAGCGTCCTTGAGAATTTGCTCCCAGGCCTTTTGTTGCAGTTTAGGAAGCTGAGTATCCCAAGAAAGTTTAATTGTCCATAACTCCTGCATGAAAAACTTGGACTTGATGAATAGTGGGTACAATAGCCCAAGTGGATCAAAATTCTGTGCTATCTGAGAAAGCACTTGTCGTTTGGTTGTGGAAGTTGTCGATGAAGCGGTCTGTCTAAATTGGAAGGTATCTGAGACTCAATTCCATGATAGTCCAAGGGCGCGAGTTACTGTGTCTTGAATTGGAATGAACGTCACCTCATCTTGGTGCTGGTGTGGAATTTTCTTCAATACCTCCACGTCATTGCAACGCCATTTTCTCAAGGGAAAGCCGCCCGTCATGCAGAGAAGATTCACTTGATGGGCTTTTTCCTGAGCTTCTCTTATTGTATCAGCGCCACCAAATACATCATCGACATAGCGTCCCTTTATAATAAGCTCTCGAGCTAATGGAAATTTCTCACCTTCATCCTCAACCAATTGGAGCATTGACTTGATGGCCAAGTATGGTGCACAAGCGAGACCATAAGTTACTGTTACTTCACAATGTTCTCTCCCTCTCACCAGAGAATTCGCTGAAACCTTCAGTCATCAGGGTGAATTTTAATTTGTCTATACATTTTGGTTACATCTGCCGAAAACAGGTACTTGAACTGACGTAGCCAGATAAGAATGTCGAAGATGTCAACTTGAATTTTAGGTCCCGTGTGCAGCAGTTCATTTAGAGGCAAACCTTGTGATACTTGACATGAGTCACTGAAGACAACTCTCAATTTAGTGGTAGTACTTGACTCTCGAATCACTCCATGGTGAGGGAGGTAAAAGCCGAATTCAGGCTCTGGCTGATTAGAAGGTACTCGTACCATGTGTTGAAGATCTTCATATTCCCTCAGAAATGCTGAATAAGCTTGATGGAATGTTGAATTGACTTTGAACTTGGATTGTATAAGTCTCAACATCTTAATAGCTGGAGTCCAAGAATTCCCTAGTTGATTCTGAGGTGTTTTGAAGGCTAGTCGAACTATATACCGTCCACTGGAGTCTCGTGTGTGTGTCACAGCAAAATGATCTTCACACTGTTTTGCGTTACACGACAACTGTCCCTTAGTTGTCGATGAAATCTCCTCGTGATGCCAGAAACGCTCCAATAAGGAACACAAGTCATGGTCTACTGAACAATGGAAGATTTGAACTTTGTTGGTTTCTGAGCTGACAATGGTTGGTCCAGAGATTACCCAGTCTAATGTTGTTAGTTGAGCTACTGGTGAATTGGGTGGTCCTTCAATGATAGAACCCTCCAGAAGTTGTCCATAAACATCACCGCCAATGATAATGTCAATATCTCCTGGTTGAGTATAGTATGGATCAGCTAGTTGAATGTTTTGCAGGTGAGACCGCGTTGTTTGTGATGACTCAACCATGGGAATTAATCCGGTTAATTTAGGTGAGCGTGCAGGGTGACTTCAGCAGATGATTCAAAATATGGTTTAATCTTCAAGAAAGCGAGTCCTCTGGTAGAACCAGCTGTGTTGCTTCCAATGCCCTTAATCGGTATTGAAGATGATTGAGGAGTCAAATGTAGGCGTTGCACTAAGTTCTCAGTGACTAAAGATACCTCTGATCATTGGTCGAGAAGTACTCGTACATCAAGAGTCTGTCCGTGTTGATTAATGACCTTGGCGCGTGCAGTAGCCAAGAAAATGATGGATTGTTTCTCAGTAGAAGAATTTGCATATGATGTACTTGCCCGACTTGTTAGTCCAAGGTTGAGTTGTCTCGAACGTTGCCACTAGGTTCATTTTCTTTGTTTGAGGAGTTGGATAGATGCAGAAGCGTATGATGTTTCTTACTGCCACACTTGCGGCATCTCTTTATTGACTGACATTTGGCTCGTCGATGTGGTCCCAAACAGTTATAGCACATTTCGTTAGAAGTCACGTAGTCCCATCTTTGTTTAGTTGTCTTGTTTTGGAACTGTTGGCACGATGAAATGGAATGATCACCAGAACACAAACTGCACGATTGTTTTCCTGAAGACACAGTATGTGCGGTGAGTCGAGGGTGAGAACTGGCCTTGACTGGTTGTGACTTTTCATAGGCCTGGAGAGATCGTAATCTCATGATTAGGAACTCTTCAAACTGTTATCACGTTGGCGGTTCTTTGGTGGACCCCAAATGCTGCTCCCAAGCCTTCACTGATTCGGAATCTAGCCGCTGGACAGAGACGTATACAAGAATATCATCCCATTTGTCTACCGGACGTTGAAGAGTCTCCAAGGTTCTTATCAGCTGGGTTACAGTTGTATACAGTTGCCCCAGCTCGACACCAGACTCCTTAGTCACCTTTCTCAATGTAAGCAGTGACTGGAGAGCTGCATTAACCAGGAGACGATCGTTCTCATAAAATGCTAGCAGGGAGTCCCACGCTCTTTGGAAGTTCTCAGCTGTCAGAGGAGTATTTCTGATGAATAGTTCGGCAGGACCAGTAAGACAGGATTTCAAATACTACAGCTTCTCTACTGCAGATAGCGTAGGATTCGATATCACCAGCGAAACAAACATATCTCTGAAGTGCAACCAGTCAGAAAGATTCCCGTTGAATTTGGGTAGTGCAATTCGAGGAAGCTATGCAGCGTAATAACTCGGTGCTGGCGTGGAAGATTGTTGCACAGATGGTGAGGGTGCTGGTGGATTCAAGGCCATTTCATCGAGAAGTGCTGTCATCCGTGCTACTGTTTCGAGGTATCGTTCTCGAGTACTGGCGAAGATCCCTTCTATGAAGTAGATGTGTTGTTCAATTCTCAGCCGGTCCTCCAACTCTAATTCAGGGATAGCTAAATTGATGGCAAAGTCAGAAACAGCGAAACTCTCCCATTGGTCTTCGACATCCTGAAGCCTCGTTTCCACTCGCTGACGTGTGACGATCCCAGTGTTAATAAGGTTCTCGTATGCCCGAGCGATGGATCCAGCTTGGACAAGCTGTTGATCCAACCTTCGCTCGATATGGTCGAGTCTCATTGCGCCCAAATAGGCTCGAAGGACCAGAATTAATGTTAGAATTATTGGTTGCCGGACTGGACAGAAATAAGATTCAAAGGCGAGGATTGAGTTTTCCTTTTTTTTTTATTGGCGAAATTGAGTTTCAAAATTTACAGCGAATGTGAGTTGTCAATGGATTTGAGACGAGAAAGTTCTCAAGTGTCCTTGAGAAGCGGGTTAACAATCACTAGTCCAATGCGGTGACCCAGTGAACTCACATCTCTCGATGATTTGCCTCGGGTCTAGCCTCAATATGGTCAAGCGGTGTGCTCATAGAAAGTTTGCCTCTTCTCGAACTCTCTCGAAGGTTCTACTGACCTTGAAGTCCTTGA